CCGGTAGCGGTTCGAACATCCTATGCCCTTTTCACCGGCCACTCAGCCGTAGATCATCCGAGACACCGGCTCGGTTTCGGCTTAGACTACCGCGCGGGAATATATGCGCTTTTCTTATGCTCCTGTAAAATTGTACGCTTCGTGTTATTATAGGGTAACCAAATTTAATAAAATCTTTTACTTTAATGATATTAGTGTTAAACAATATTTATTTTATCTATTACAATCGTTTTCAGTTTAATATTTACATAAAATATACCATAATCCATATAACAATATTTGTCGAAAAAAGATTTAAAATTAAAAAAGGTTATTGTTACAAAAATGCCAGCTTTGCATTATTTGTAAAAATCTGTTTCTGCTCATAACTTTCGAGAAGAATGGCGTTTCTATAGTTGGGTCTGTGGACCAATAATCGTAGAGAACGTCCTTCTTTACTTGTCCCATAAGAACGATCAGGCCCAAAAATTCCTTCATTTCAGACACCGTGATGTCAGTCCATTTTTTCGTTTTTGGTGTAATTCTATATTTTTCCATAATTTGATCATGATACCTATTAGACTCCCTCACGAAGTGCTCAATCAGGTCACTTCCAATGAATAAATTCACAATATCTATTACGCTTTCAGAGGAACTTGGCATAATTTTTACGCCGGGGTTGCCTTCGAAAGGTTCCAAAATTATATTCTTGTCGTTCGTTGACCATGTACCACAGCTGTCTTTAACGTTATTATTTATGCCCTCGTCTTCTGAATCACTGTATATTAGTGATACAGAACGTCGCTTTCGAATCGTTATACTACTGCTATCACTTTCGTCATCAGTACTACTTGCTGAACAGCAGTGAAGACAATCTGACAGGTCGTCGAGATAAAACTCACCAACACTATCCTTTTCATTCATCTTTAAGGGCTAAATTTTAGAGAAAAGCAACGATTATCTGAATACAGAATTCGAAATGCTTGCTGCTTGCTACTTGTCAGTCTAACTTAACCAAATCTAACGGAAAAAACAAAAGTCGATTAATCGACGACCGGTCGTTAAGCGCTGTGGAATAAAAGTCGAATAATCGACGGCCGGTCGATAAGCGCTGAGAACAAAACGTCGATTAATCGACGGCCGGTCGGTAAAGTGTTAATTTGTTGTATTTCGTACTTTTCTGTATTCTATTGTTATTATGTAAAATATGTTGAATATCACATATTTAATAGCCCGAAATTATTAGAAATTTATGTGACATCAGCAACTATGTTTGCAGAAACTTCGATAGGCATTTCATTGCAAGATGCAGGTTCTTCTCATGAAGAATATCGTCATACGGTTCAAGATATAGGCAAATTTATGTTCAAAAGGTAATTTTTACTTTAGGTTATAAATACATCTGGTTTGAATAAAATCTTCCTAAGCGATCTAAAAATAATAAAATGTGATTTTTAAACTTATTTAAATGTGAATAATTTTGTTTAGATTTTTCAGACCATGGCTTTATAATGAAACACTATTCAATTTAACGTCAACTGGTAGGGCGCATAATAAATATCTCAACATCTTGCACTCATTCACCAGAAAAGTGAGTAGCCGCAAGCATGTTATTTACGTTTTTAGGAGAAGTGACTATTGTGTCAATAAAAAGTAATAGTTTATACTAATGAGACAATTAAGAAATAGTTATACATACAGCTAGTTTCATATTTTTTCTTATG